GGGAATTACTGTCGTTTGCTTAATTCCGTGAAAACGCGAAAAAGTTTCGCGGCCTCACGTGATCGTCGGCAGACAATGCCGGATAGTGCCGTGCACCTGGAGTACTGGGAAAGGAATTTCGACAGGAGTTTATAGCATTAAAAAGCTGGTAGAATTTTCTTCGGCCCCGACACCTTGGAAATAAGAGAGATTTGAACATTTTCGAACTTCGGCATCGTCTGCCGACGATCACGTGACGCCGCGAAACTTTTTCGCGTTTTCACGGAATTAAGCAAACGACAGTAAAACCTGAAGGCCAAATAACCTAGCCCCGGATAAAACGGGGACTTTTGCATACAACATACCCACTCTGAGTGTTTTGTGCCGATGCACACCATCTGCTACTTGGTGGTCTTGTAGTCTATTCTGAGTTTGGATTTATCTGCTTTGAAGTTGTGGGTAGATGTCAGTAGAATCCAAAAAGAGATGTTCAGAAGAGTAATTACCCAGCCCCGAGTCAAACGGGAGTGAAAAAGAAGAAGCCGCCAAGTTATAACCCGGTCCGGGATCGAACGGGGTCTTCTGCGTGCAATTTGCGTAGAACATTGTCCTGTTGGGCAGATTCAGAACAGATGCCACTGAGTGGTCCTATCCTCTGCTTTGAGCCTTAATTTATCTGGCTTAAAGGTAAGCGAGAAGGAAAAAATGTTTTGAGCCCGTCCATCGCCCAGCCCCGAATTGAACGGGGATCTTCTGCTTTCATACTTCGAAAAACAACATAATGTTGGGCAGATGCACACCAGGTGCTACTAGGCGGAACTATCCGGTATTTTGAACCTCTATTTATTTCACTTGAAGGTAAGTGGGATGGAAAGAAGAAGGAGAAACACGATTAAGTGCCCGGCCCCGAATCGAACGGGGACCTCTTGCTTGGGAACTATGCTCAAGAATAATTCTCAGCAAGCTCACTCCTTGTGCAACCGGGTGGTCCTTAAGCCTTAGCCTTAGCGTGTATCCTGGTTGAAATAACGGAGTAGTCATAGCGGCACACGATACCACGGGATTGATCCGGCGGCACGAAGCCAGACACGCTCCTCTGTGCTCTCCCTCTCCCTCCACTCATGCCTGCCTCCTCCATCTCCAGCCAGTCCCCCCCACCCGCTCCCGCGCTCCGCCGCCACGCCTCGGCGAGCCCCGCGTGCGACGTCGGTGTCAAGGGCATCACGCGCAAGGTCATCCGCACGCTCGAGGGCCTCGGGCACCTCGACCCCGCGCTGGAAGTTGAGGCAGACGCCGAGGAAGGCGACGACGAGCACGAGGTCCCGCGCGCGCTCGCTGCCGACTCCGACGCCCGGCGAGTGGGCACGGGGAAGCAGCGCGCATCGGTAGGGGGGAGACTAAGAAGATCGACCGGGAGATCCCGAGGAAGGTGTTCCATTCGTCTATCGGTGGGTCTCTCTCTCCTGCCACTGCGTCGAGTAGCATTCAATTCAAGTGGGGTCGGCTTCATCACGCTAGGCTTGTACCTGACGCCGAGCATGTCGCCGCGGACGGTGGTGCTGGTGCTATGGAGCGCGCTCGCGGTGATCGCGCCGACGGACTTTGTGCGCCTGCGCAGTCTCCCCGCCGAGCGCGTCTATGAGCGCGCGCTCGGCTTCCTCGTGCGCGAGAGCGAGCGCGTAAGTCCTCCTTGCCACCCTCTTTGTTTGATGCTGACTGTATTCACAAGCAATTGTTCAGCACGGGACGAACGTGACGCTGTGGTACATCCTCGGCGTCAACTTTGCGCTCACGTTTTATCCGATTGAAGTCGCCACGGTCGCTATACTCGTGTGCGTACCGCTGCCTTGCTCCTCCTCCTACATTTCCATATTTCGACTACATCCCCTTACACCCCCTTATCCCTTCCGAGACACACGTCCCTTTTTACCATTCTCTTCCCGCCCCGTCCGCTCTTCGCTCCTTCTCCTTTTCCTTCTCCCGCGCGCGCCCCTGTCCGTGTCTCGCATCCCGCGGCCGTGCTGCGCCGGCTATGGCTTGCCCTGCCTGACTTAGCGCACGTACCTCCTCCGACATTGCGCGCGCACCTCCTCGCGATGCCCGGGTGCACCCCCTTGCGTCGTCCGCGCCCGGTGCTCGTTACCGTGTATTTCGGGTCGTGTGCCCCGGTTTGCTTTTGCCTTTCTTTTACTTCCGCGATCGGGCACCGGCGGGACCTTCGACCTTCGGGCGCTCGTTCCTGTTCTGCTGTTGTTCGCTACTGGCTTTCCACAACCCCTTCTCGTTTCTTCTTTCTCGATCCATATCTGCAGCGTCCGCAGGCTGTAGGGGAGTGTGTGCAGGGTCGGCCGTACGCGTGGAGTCTTCGTATCTTCTACCACCCACGCGTCTCTCAGACTCTCTGTACGAATATAATGTCATATCGGATCGAAATACTACAGACTTCTCGGGCTTGCTGCTGAACTGGCAATGCGCCGCTGCTAAACGTTAAACTTCTGGCTCAATCAACCGTTCTCAGCCTCATCCTGGAATCGGCGGTACATTCACCCACTGACATTTAAGCCTTTCTCGGCGCTTGGGATTTCCCAAATTGGGCCTGTACTCTCTCACAGCCCAGGGATAACTGCATCCAGTACGTGGCCGTGCATACAGCCAAGCACGCAATGCTGTTGAAGCTGTCAATGTCATGCTATTATTGTCTAGTATGGGAAGCCCACGCAGCACCAGCGCTACTAGGCTACTTCCTCTTTCATGTCCCCACTACACCGCCAGCAGACCCACGGAAGCATATACAGTTGGTGGTCGGACAACAACCTTACGGGTCCCAATATCAACCTCCATGCTGCCACGAAACCACTGTTGAGGCGCATGCACGATCGCCAGGCATTGGCCCTGATCAGAAAGAATCGAGGGACTCCGCTCTCGAGTAAGGATGTGGAGATTTGCACCAGTTATCTCTGGTATTCTACTGCCATTGTGCTTTCAAGGCCCCTCCAGCTGACTGATACCATAGGTTTAAAGATGTATCGCCCTCGACAAAGATCGCGATTTTGAGGGAAACTTACGAGAGAGCTGACTCAGAGGACGACGCGCTCACCGTGGCGAAATCCCTTGCCTTGTATCACGTCGACGCACTGCTGGAATCACCGAACGACGAGTTCCGGAGCCAAACGTGCATGATACTAGCACGGCTAGCATGCCATGAAACCACGGTAGCGGCTGTGCTCTGCATAAATCCCTGCGAGCGGCTGGTATCAATCTTGCAGTGAGTCATCATCATTTATGCTGCAGCAGACTGTCGGATCTTCGTCAGGGATGACAACATCGAGGTCGTTCAGAGTGGGGTGTACGCACTACATTGCCTCGCCGAATGGCGGGAAGGCGCGCAGGCTCTCGCGAATGCAGGAGTGTTGGAGTGCGTGAAAAAATTGCTTGGATCTGGGGAGGCCAGGATCCGAAGATGGACATGTGAAATGCTGGCACGCCTTCTTCAACAAACCCCCACACTCCCAGCAATCGCCGACTCGGTCGTGAAACTTTTCAACCAGCTTGCTTTGGTGTTGCGGTGGGCTCTCAGTTTTCCGTTTCTGAACCGGGAGTTGATTCTGGAGCAGTGCCGAAACTCGCCCTAGTACCGCTCTCGATCTCATGGAGAGCGCAGCACTTGCGCTGTTTTGGAGTATTCGCTCTTCCGAAGCGCAGGAGGCAATTTTGCTAGATTGCCTGGGGCTGTTAGAATCGCGGAACATTGAGGTGCATGAACGGACATGGAAGATGCTGGTCGATGCGCGGGTGTTAGACTGTACGGCTGAACTGCTTGACTCACCGAGTCCTGATGTTAGGAGGTCGACATGCAGGTTGTTGAGACAGCTGGCGGGCCATCAGACCACAATGGCCGCTGTTCTCGCTATAAGCCCCTGCGAACAGCTTGTACCATGTTTACAGTGAGTCTGGATTTGCTGTTCTGGAACAGACATGTTAATTCTATGGATCAGCGACCAAAATCTACATGTCGTGGAGAGTGCGGCCCAGGCACTGGTTTCGATCGCTTCAGTGCCTGAAGGTGCACAGGCTGCACTGGACAAGGATGTGTTGCAACACGTGATGGAACTGTTTAAATCACCTGAAGCCGTAGTGCGGAAATGGACGTGCTTTGTAGTGGGACAGCTTTCATCCCACAAGACCACGTTGCCAGTCGTTCTTGCTGTAAAGCCGTGCACGCAGCTCGTATCACTTTTGAGGTGTGTATTAATGATCTATTCTAGAACAGACTTTTGTTGATCCTGAACCAGTGACGAAAACCTGGTGGTTGTCGAGGGTGCGGTAGTGGCACTGTACGTGATCAGCAGGTCGCCGGAAGGCGCACTGGCCGCGGTGAACGCACATGCGCTGGACTTTGTTCCGGAATTGCTCAAATCATCGAGCGCCCGGGTTCGTGGATGGATGTGTAAGATGTATTGGTGCTCAGTGTTGGCACGGCCGGGTCAAAGGTCAAACGTGTTTGACGAAATTGACTCTGACGGCCGTTTGACGGGGTTCGACCGTGTTAGACCCCGGGGTTTGACCTCGCCAAATGTGGAAGGTATGGTTGATTCAACGGTCTGAGGGTAGTTCACTCCTTGGAATATCATCTTGAACCATAAACTATCTATTTGAACACTTTGAACCACTTTCTGCCAGTGATTTGCAAAACCGGTCAGAAATGGCGAGGGCAGAACAACCATTGGGTGTCGCACGCAGAAATACATGACCTTGGGCTATAAAACGAGCTGGGGGTTCAATGGGGAGATGAAAAAGGGACAAAGGATACACTCTCTCGCTGAAGAGACTCGAGACCGAGGTAGATGGCAAAAGCGGCCAAATCCTTGACCAAAGGTCTGGCCATTTGGTCAAAGCCCGGTTGACCCGGTCAATGCCAACACTGCCAGGTCCTAGATTCTTTTTTGTACCCTCACTTCACTTGCCTTGCATGAATTGAAGATGTGTAAGTAGGCAAATAAAGAATGGCTTGCAAGACTGGAGCACCCAGCCCTGAATCGAACAGGGGGCCTTCTGCTTGCAAATTGATGGAACATGGACTTTTATCTTGGGCAGATGCACACCATGTGCTACCAGGTAGTCTTTTACTCTGTTTCAGCCTGGATTCACTTGACCTGAAGATAAGTAGAGAAATAAAACAATGCTTCCACATCGAAATCCCAAATCTAACGGCGTCTTCTGCTTGTCAGTCAGTTTACAAATTTTGGGCAGATACACACCACGTGCTACTAGGCGGTCTTATCCTCTGTTTTAGAGCCATAGCACTAAGATTTAGTCTAATGCACATGGCTCTAGCCATAGGAAACATTATCTAATGCCACGGCTCCAGCCATGGCAATGGCTGGTGCCATGTATTTAGTCTAATGGTGTTTAACTACCATTTAATGGCAAAACAAATGACTGCAAGCGGGGCTGAACCAGGAACCTTCTGAATACAGTTCTTTATCTCATCCTCACCATTACCATCTACACTAGAGTGACCATATTGTAGTTATTTTGCTTCCCAGCTAGGGTAAGGCCAGCCTTACCCTACCTGGAACTGCTAATACCCAGACCTAGGGCAGGCAAGCTGCCCTAGGTCTTCGAAACTGTATTAACATGCTTAGTATGTGTTCTGAATATGTTCCCAACCCCAACCAACACTAACCGAACGGAACTAACCTAACCATCAAAAGCTTACAAATCACCTTCAACAGCTTTCAACAATATACCTGGGCCCTAAACCTTAACCGACCTAACCACTAACCACTAACCATTAACCACTAACCACAAACACTAACTGGCCCCTAAGGCGGGGCCATAATGGGAGTATTACATGCTAATTTTGCACTGTAGAACAATGGTCTATCTCCGTACATTACTTACTTATTTATGGTTACCTAGCTCAGTTAGTTAGTGTCTGCTATTAGTATTTGGTGTGATACCGCAGGGTCTGGGGTTCAATCCCTACCCTGTCTTTTATTATTTTACCCTTGTCCCGAAGACTATTGCCATGGACCTAGCCATCCATGGCTAGTGCCATGGCAATAGATAGCATATCCGTTGGCTAGTACCATACCACCAGTCTAAATCCTAGAACCATGGGTGTGTTTTAAGCCGCATTTTACTATTTAATTGGCTTGAAGGTGACTGTGAAAGTAAGAAGGTGAATGTGAAAGTGAGAAGCCAAAAGAATGTGTAAGTCTGGGATCACCCAGCCCCGAATCAAACGGGGGTCTCTGCATGCAAAGCTGAAGGACACATAGAATTTAACTTTAAGGCAGATGCGCGCGATGTGCTACTGGATGTGCTGTTCACTGCTGATATCCTTGTTTTATTTGCTTTGAAACTGCAAGTGGGGAGGAAGTAAAAAGGAAAAACAAGTTACCAGAGCCAAATCACCCAGCCCCGGATCGAACGGAGGTTCTGCTTGCAAGTCAGTATATGAATTTTGGGCAGATGTACACCATGCGCTATTGAGTGGTTCTCCGCTCTGTTTGGAGGTCGAGGTTACTTATGGGGTGGATTTTGGGGGTTGGGAGAATATCAATTGAGAAAGAGGTTTAGCAGGAAGAGCAGAAATCACTGGAGATTGGTTAGAGGCCTGTGGGGTTTGAGAGTCGAAAGTAGGACTGTATTTGAGGCAGAGGAGATTCGACCGTGCAGCACGAAAAACAAGCCAGCACGCACTTCTGCGTACGGCCCGACCCCGAATCGAATGTGGACCTCTTGCTTCTCCTTGTGCAACCGAGCGGTCCTTAGGCCTTAGCCTCAGCGTGCCTCCTGGTTGAAATACTCCGAGTGGTCATCGTGGCACCGAGTAAGGCTCCAACCGTTTCCGTGTATAAACCGTTTTACACGGTTTTAACCGTTTTTGTTTCCGTTTTATTTGAGTGGAGGTGCAAACAGTTTACAAACCATTTTACACGGTTTAAACGGTTACAGCCAGAGCACTACCAGAGCTCTGTGATTCTGCCTTTGCATCTTGAGTGTGGGAGGACTGAGCTGATTTATGGGGCTCATAAGAATGCCCGGTACAGATCCAGCGCAAAACAAACTTCTTGTGGAGGTCGGGGGCGGGACCAAAACAAGATCTATCCCAATCGAGTAATTAATTGATGGCAGCCGGCAATCCCCGTCCCGCCCAGCCTTGACTGATCCTCTCAGAAATTGTGTTTCCAAGCCAGACATATCTTGTTGAAAGTATCCCTCAGTGCAGGATCCACTTTTTCGGAAGACTTTACTCGTTGACTGTGCATTTGTGTAGGTTCAAGTTGAACCCGGATTCAACATCTATCATACAAGTACCAGTACCAGGAAGGCACTGCATACTTGAGGTTGATACATTGTATAGCTGTGAACATTACAATAGTGTCAGCCTCCTCAGAATGTGTTCTGGGCTGTGGTTGAGGCTCATACTTGACTTTTCTAACTCAAACTTGGGTTCTCCGGGAAAAAACCATTTATAAACGGTTTTACACGGTTTTAAACCGTTTAAATACCGTTTTCGTTTAATTTGCCCCCAGGTCTACACGAAAACTAAATGGTTGGAGCCTTAGCACCGAGATTGATCCGGCGGCATCAGAGACAAGGCCAAACACGCTCCTCTGTCCTCTCCCTTCTCCTCCACTCATGCCCGCCTCCTCCATCTCCAGCCATCCCCCCCCTACCCGCTCCCGCGCTCCACCGCCGCGCCTCGGTGAGCTCCGCCCGCGACGCCGGCGTCAAGGGCATCACGCGCAAGGTCATCCGCACGAGGGCCTCGGCCACCTCGACCCCGCGCTCGAAGACGACGACGACGACGAGCACGAGGTCGCGCGCGCGATCGCCAACGCCGAGCGCCGTGTGGGCAAGTAGCGCGGGGTTGGCAGCACGGCGTCGCAGAAGAAGTGTGATTGGGAGATCTAGTCAATGTAGATTTGCACAACGTAGTACGTCCCTCTTTTTCCTTTTCGCGCGCGCCGACCCTATCGGTGTCTCGAATCTCGCGGACCTGCCGCGTCATCCCCAGCCCGATGTAGCCCACGCACCTCTTCGCGTGGGGACATCCACCTGCGCCACGCGCATCGTGGTCGTATCCACGCCCGGTGTTCGATTATTCGATACCGTACCCTGCGCTGCGGTTGTGTGCCCGCTTTTCCTTTACCTTTGCCTTTTGCCTCCGCGATCGGGCATCGGCCGGGGTGGTCGTGCGCCTTGCTTCGACCTTCTGCGTTCTTTTTTCTATGTCTGCTCTCTCTTTCATTGTTTCTTTCTTTCTTTCTCGTTTCTCGATTCCCATTTTCTCTCCCCTGCGCGTCTCCGATTCCCATTTCCCGTTTCATTTCGCCTGTCTTATGCCCCACCCTGCTCTCTTCTCCCCCATCCTGTGCACCGTGCTGAGGTGTTGGTTCGCTGTTTGGCGCGGGGGCAGGGGGGCAGAGCGTGTGCGTTGCTCGCCGGTGATCGGGATTGTGCGGCGTGGCTGGCGAGGTCGGAGCGGGGCGCGGATGAGATTCTAGACACAGGATGCGATGCCGGCGCGGCGTCCCAGGCGTCTGCGAGTGCGCTCTGCGAGTGTGCTCTGCGCGAGGGTGTGGGAGGCGCGGGGGCGTTGCGAGGCGCGTGGGGCGGCGCGTTCGGAGGTTCAGTCGGGCTGAGCCCGCGTACTCCTTGGAGTTCTGGACGACGCGGGAGCTCTTCCCGCCGCCGTTTTCGTGGTCTCCTGGTCGGTCGAAGTGGGAGGGTAGTCGCGACGGTATTCGCGAGGCGCGCGGCACCTGTTGCTTCCGGCGCGGTCGATAGGCAGCGGTGGCGGGATGGGTCGTGTGCCCGCGCCGTTTCTTTTTACTTCCGCGATCGGGTAGTCGTGCTCGCGCTTCGCGTTCGTTGCCGCTCGCTGCGTTCATTCTGCGCAGTCTTGCCGTTCGTTCTTTTTTGGGCGGCGATTTTTCTGGGTCACGAGCGCTGTCGTTTCGCGGCGCGATGCTTGTCGAGTTTCTCGTTCCCGTTCCCGGTTGCTATTCGTCTGTGCTCGTGTCTGCTCGCTGCGGGGGGTGCGATGTGCACCCCATGTGCTAACGGGTGTACTTGTTCTTATACCTGCGATGTGGTTCTGTGTTATTGCGGCACCTCGTTTACCGCATTCTTCGCCCCTGGTGTCTGTTCTACCACCCATGCGTCTCTCTGTACGAATATCATGTTATACCGGAATCGAAATACTACGGACTTCTCGGGCTAGCAGCTTTGTACGACTGAACTGGCAATCTAAACTTCTGGCTCGAGTGTTCTCAGGTTCATCCTGCCATCGGTGGCACCTGCATATCTACCCACTGACATTTAAGCCTTCGTCGGCGCTTGGAATTTCCCAAATTAGGCTCAGACTATCCCCACAGCCTATGAATAGCTGCACCCAGTGCGTGGCCGTGCACAGGCCGAGCGCGCAATGCTGTTAAATCTGTCAATCGTGGCGTGATACCATTCATTGTCCAGTGTGGGTCGCCTGTGCGCAGCCTCAGCGCTACTTGACCGCCGCCTCTCTCATGCTTCCATCTCCCCGCCAGCAGCCCCGCGCCGAAAGCATACACAGTTGGTGGTCGGACAGCAACCCTACGGGTCCCAACATCAACCTCCATGCTGCAACGAAGCCGCTGCTGAGGCGCATGCACGACCGCCAGGCATTGGCCCTCATCAGAAAGAATCGCGGGACTCCGCTGTTGAGTGAGGATCTCGAAATTTACACCAGTTATCTCTGGTATATACTTCCATTGTACGCTCAAATCCTAGAGCTCACGGATACCTTAGGTCTAAATATGTATCGCCCTCGACAAAGACCGCGATTATGACGGAAATTTACGAGAGAGCTGACTCTGAGGACGAAGCGCGCACCGTGGCTAACTCACTAGCATTGTATCACGTCGACGCAATGCTGAAGTCACCGAACGACGAGTTCCGGCGCCCCGAAAGTGTACGCAGCTGGTGGTTGGACAGCAACCCTACGGGTCCCAACATCGACCTCCATGCTGCCACACAGCCGCTGCTGAGGCGCATGCACGACCGCCAGGCATTGGCCCTGATCAAAAAGAATCGCGGGATCCCGCTCTCGAGTAAAGATGTGGAGA